CTCCACATTCACATGTTCACAACATGGTTACTTTGTTTATGTTGTTTTAGAATGCTTATTGGGACAATAAAAAAAACACTTTCTGGGTCAGTTTCTACTCTTTTTTCTTATACCTTTTTTAGAGCAATTCAATTTGTTTGCCATGGTGTTGACGGATTGTGATGTGAAGCCTTGTGATTAGGTATTTGTTTACTAGCAATAGCATAGAAACTTAATTGCTGAAGTTTTGTTCATTTTTCATTGAAACTGGAATCTTATGAACAATGATCAAGTTTCTCTAAAATTTTAGGACACTTGTTTGATCCTGAGATAGATTTAGGTTGGAGTGTTATTATGTCTGCTTATGGCCATCAAATGGAACATGCTTATTCTACAAGGAGTCTCTCTGCTGCTTCTGGTATGATCAAGAATTATTATCACCTATATGGTAGATTCTGCTCACGGATGAAATTAAAAATTCTCGATCATATTATTCATTTTGGATCAGTCAATTGAGCCTGCGAAATGATCTTGAAAGGACTAACATGATCGAGAATTTTCATATTCAGAAATGATTTCAGAAACTGAAAATTCTTTTCTTTGATGATTATTCTGTCTTGTTTTGTTTTTGGTCACAGAGATGAGGAGTAGTTTTATGCTAGAATCAGGATTCTATATCACATCATTTTCTGCAACAATCTTCATTGCTGGATTTGCTGCTCTTGGACTTTTATTAATCACTCTGTTGGTTTCAATGGCAATGATGCTACAATCCTGTCAAAGTAACAGTGCTGGAATTCTTGAGCTTAGGAATATAAATGATGACTATAGTTATTGTAAGATTCATTCGCTGCATGCTAAGCTCAATCATTTGAAAGAACAGAATGTTCCTGAGACTTGTAAGGACCTAGCTGTACAGTATATCAAAGGTGGTCAATATGCTAGGGATTTGGATTTAACCAAATCTGTGATTGAGGATTACTTCAATGGTGTTAAACCATCACAGGATGGTTTTGATGTGGTGTTGATTGACATAGATGGCATTTATCCATTGAGTCCTCATTCTTCCAATTTGTTTCAAAGGTAAGCTTATAATGTAAGATTTGGTCAAGTTTATGTGATTTGGATTTCACTGCGTTACAAAGTCACGACCGCTTGATTTGTCTGACTGTGTTGATTTCTTACTGCAAGTAATTTGATCCCAATTTTGCAATAGTAAAGAAATTTTACTTGTCTTCTTTATAATAAGTACATTTTGTCACTTCGAAGATGTTATTTCATATAGAAAATTTTTGAAGTAACTTGTACATTCAATCTTTATGAATATGGGAGATTGAGTATATTTCAATTGGTTTGAGCTAATGGTTAAAAAAATTGAAGGTGTTATAAGAGTAGGGTTCAAACATTTCATGTAGGAGGAAAAAAATACTAACAGAGTAGGGCTCAAACATTTCATGTAGGAGAAAAAATACTAACATAATAACTAATATATTAATGTTTCTCTACCTTAAGAAAAAAAAACATCATGAACTTTGTTTATTGTATTAGCAGATCTAAGCCATTTATGTACCCTGATTTTGGATAATGTAAAATACTGATAAATGCTTAGATATAGGTCACCCTGAATTTTGGTGTCTTAGTTTGGCTTTTATAAATGGTTTGTTACTCCAACTTGCATTAGTTTATTAGTAATTCATATTTCTTGCTATACATTTTTTATGTAGATAATCCAGCTTGATGCTAATCTGCATGTATTATATTATTAGCAGTAACTTGACAAGATTTTGTTTTGATGTTGGATTTCATTATAACAGCATTAGCAATTGTATCTTAGAGGCAAAAAATTTAAAGCGCAAGGCTGTGTTAAGATTATACATGAACCTTCAAGCTAGTGGTTGGCCTATAATTTTGTTATCAAGAGAGCCAGTAAAAGACCAAAATGTCACCATCAATCATCTTGCCTCTGCTGGATTTAGAGGCTGGTCTTCATTGATGATGAGGTATTAAGTTTCACCCATGTATCCTAGATAATGGTTCAACAAAAATCACAAATGTTGTTTTTAAGATACCTCATTCTCTGCTTTAGTTTAAAAATATATTTTAAGTTTAGTTTACTGCTTTTACACTTTATTAAAAATTTGTTTTCACTATTTTTTTCTCTTCTGTTTCTACATGAAGAAAACTAATTGACTATATAATCAACTACTATGCACTCAACTTGATTATATAGTGAACATTTGGACTGACACTGAAATTGTCAAAATCACATTGAGCTATTGTAAATTTTGCAAAAACTACAGTTTGAAGTTTCAGCAAAACTAAGTATACCATAGTGATTTTGCTAAACTTTAACTCTTCCACAAAGTATGTGTGACATGATATCTTTATATTACCACTGACGTGTTTAAATTGCAACACTTTTAGACCAAACATACACACATTATGTGAGATTCACATCTTAAGCCACCATTGATGTTCTATATTTGCAGAGAAGGTGAAAATTCTACCAAAACAAACGAGTATTTTTCCAGGCAAAGGAATGTGATACAAACAAAGGGCTTCCGAATAATAAGTATCATAAGCAGTCATGTGGATATTTTGAGTGCTGCATACGAAAATGCAGGAATGCGAAAGTTTTTGCTACCAGACCCTATATGTGACATGTTTGAGCATCAAATCAAAGCATAGCTGCTGAACATTTGTTTCATCCTACAGGACTACAGAGTTTTTGGTTCGACTACCATTTTTTCATATTTTTGTAAATTAAGAAATTATATGTATCTTGCTCTGTTCATATCTATCATATGTAAATTTGATTTTACATTATAAAGTGCGGTTCAAATAATTCAAATTTCTGTAAAAGAGACTCAATCACACACACAAAAATCTGTATTGGAGCTTCATTAAGATATGGGCTCAATCTCAACTACAATTCAACAAAGTTCTCTATACTATATCTTTACAGAACAATATGAACACCAATATTTCTTTCTGATTAGGCTTCATATACCAATCTAATTACAAAACTAAAACATGATTAACAAGAAAATTAAAACTAATGAACAATAACCATGCAAACCTCAACGACGATCAACCAAAAAGCCACGTTAATCCAGTTCACCAAACTCGAACGCGAAGCTTCAGAGAAATCAACATCATACTTCGTAGTACCATTCGGATACAAAAGCCCCCAGTTTCTTCCCGCTCCTTCCTTATCAAAAAGCTCGTAGATATAAACCCCTTGCACTCCGTCTCTCAGCAACGGCGTTCCGGCACCGGACTTCAAATGCTTCACCAATCCCCTCAGATAAATCTCAGCATAACCTGGATTCGCGTCAAGCTCATTCCCAGTGCTAGGCCATCCCGTCTCAGTAACAATCACCGGAATAGTTTCGTAACCAGCAAGCGCCATTGCGCTAACCACCGCGTCGACCATAATGTCGAAGAGATTCCGGTAACGAACTCCGGTTGTGAAATCGTCACGGAAGTTAAACGGATAATCTTGAAACAGCGCCATTCCGAGAGGAATCTCCGATCTTAATCGGTAAAGATTGTAAGGGTAGAGATTAATCAAGAACGAAGAATTCGTGTCGCTCAAGAACTGAAGCAACGGTCCCATTAGGTTAACGCCGGGAGGTTCTTGAAAAGTTGCGGAAGACGGTGGAAACGGAGAAGTAACGGTGGTTACGAAAGAAAACGAAGTGGAGACGGAGATCTTACGGATTCCAAGATCGCGGAGTGACACGTGTACGTTGGAGATTGCAGTGAGAAGATTGTTGGCTGCTTCAGGGTACACGTCAATGAAAGCGTTACCAACTGAGATTGTAGTGATTTTGGCGCGCGGGTAGAACGGTAGCACGTTAGTGTAAATCCAGGCACGTGCGACGGAGCGGTTGTTCGCCATTGGTGTAACCATGTAGTTTGGGACGGTGAGGAAGAGGGAGACGTTGGTGTAGAGGAGGCTTCGGATGATGGTAGGGTCCGGCTCTTCAAGGCGGAGGGAGTCGAGTTTGAGTTTCTCCATGGCGGTGGTAATGCGGTCAAGTTGTGATGGCGGCGGCGGTGGTGAGGAGGGTGGTGGAGGTGGTCGTGGTGGTGGTTCTTGACGGTTAGTGGGGAAAGTAGAGTAGGTGGCGCCGATGGAGGGGAGGGAGAAGGTGGTTGTTGGGAGGAGAGAGAGGAGAATGTAGAGAGAGATGAAGGTGTTAAACATGGTGGTTACGGTGGTTCTGTTATCGAGTGGAAATGTAAAGTGTGAGAGATGAAGGGTGATGAGAGAGAAAGATAGTGAAAATTGGTTAGTTAGTTTAGTTTTAGAATTTGGCGGGTACGTAACAACGGTTTTTGTTTCTTTTTTTTTTTTCTTCTCTAAATTTGCTTGAATTTTGATTTGGATAATTTGTAAATTTTGCTTTAAATTTTTTTTTAATTTTTAAACAACAAATAATAATTATTGTAATAATCTTTGGTTTTGAATAGAGAAAAAAAATTTGGTCAAGTAGCTTAAGAGCTAAAATTCAGCTTTATAGGTCAATGCACAATTACCATCGGCATCTTGCATCTGATTCATCTACACAATTATCAACTGAGATGAGTTGGCTTATGAAACGTAATTATTTTACTAAACCATAAAACTACTGTATGTATGACCAAAAATAAGAATTTTCTCATCAATAAACAAATGTAAGCATTGTAAATAACAAATGGTTTGAGATCCAATTTTACAACTTTTTCTTGAAAGAATAAATGACCACAAGACATTTTATCTCAACAAGCCAACAAGGGTATAGGAGAGAGATCATTCAGTTATTGGAACTTTGTACCATGAGCTATTTCTGCACATTTCTAATACAATGGGGAACCCCCCTTTTATATAAAGCTATATCTATGTAGGACCAAAAGAATTCTTATAGAGTCTGGAACATTTTGATTCTGATTGAAGTCATGCTAACAAATTCGTCTCGTGGGATCTTGAAGTTGACCAAGGCGGCGACGAAAACATTGGGGACTTTGTATCAGAATCACTTGCTTCGCTTTTTGGCTTCGCTGTAAAGAACAACTCCGAGGACTGTAAGTGAATAACCCATCATTCCGGTGACTGAAACTGGATTTCTAAATATCAGAATCGAAACTACAACTGCTACAGCGCCTTTAGCATTTCCGAGTACCTACATGAGCCGATGCTTGAGGATTAGTTGTTAAACATTAACTTACATCACTTCAACACAAATTTACATTTGTTACTATAACCAGAAACATGAAACTCTACAATTATACAACAAACATATATCTACTAAGCAACTTGGCAAATAAAAAATGGTAGCAGCCAGCCTTTGACCAATGAAATCTAACAACGTGAATCAGTAAAACATGAAATGTCATGGAACAAAGAATACCGAGAGATAAATCTAGGTTGAATTTTGAAATTGCAGAGAAAGTTTCAGTAAGAAATTGAAAAAACCACCCTAGCACTAGCTATAGGGAATCCAACCGAAATTTTTAGCAGCAAACACTGATCGTATTTTCCCAGAGGTTTGAAAAAGAAACTGGAAAACAGTTTACTCATGTACTTTAAGAAACTTGTTTATGAAGATCACAAATAATTGATGTTCCAACTAAAAAGACAGCAGGCATGTTCGTAACAAGTTGTGTGACTGTATGAGAAAGGGAGGTATACCTGAAGGGTGAGAGCACTGGTGTGTTTTGTGACCAAGAAATTGGTGAGGTTGACACAATATGCAAGTGAGGAATTAAACAGAAGATACCAAATGATCTTCACATCATCTCTGGCAAGAGCCAATGTGATGCCAACCACATTTTCTTCCATATAAAGTGTAGCAGGAAGAAGGAAAACAACAGCCATTGGAGCCATGTAAAGGAGAAGGTTCATAGAATTTAGCTTCTCCCTGATACACAAAAAGAAGGATGTCAGTACTCACTTATAAATCGACAACAAAAAGAAACAGTAATGAGATAGATAGCATTTTCCTTGTACATACCCTTCAGATGAAAGTAAAATTCCTTGTAACACTGATTTTAGGGCTCGTGCCGCTGTAGCTGCAACACATATTATGAACCCAAACAAATGAAAGCTTGGTTCACCCTATAAGCAAAGAAAGAAAAGAATAGCAAATGCATCAGAAGCCATAAAGTATTCTTGTTTTCCACTTGTCAATATCAGTTGAAAATACATTAAAGGAAAAAGATTGACCACAACTTGCAGAAAAACTAAAGCGTATAAAAATATTTTCCTAGTCTGGTTTTAAAAAGTCCATCATCAAAACACCAAATAACTACAAGTCCACCAAAAACATAGAACAGTCAGAACACCACACACACAACATGAACATAACAAGTTCTATTTTTAGAAACTTGATTATTTCTACACCTATTAGCAACTGAAGCTCAGCCTTATAGACAAACCTAAACCAGATATTTCATGACTATATAAGTAGAGATTTTTATGTACAATGGAAGTAATAAATCACTCTATTACATGCCACTCTATTGCTCATAAATTTTATTCAACTAGATCTGTATGGTTCATAAATTACCACAAGTTAGAATCGGCACAACAAATTCAAATCTCAAGATACTAATGACTATTGATCCAAGTGGCAAGGACCTCAATTCAAATCTCAAGTCTTATAAATAGAAACAAAAAAGTCTTTCCCTATCAACAGGGGTCTAGCTCTCAGCTTTAAAAACAAAGTCAACGACCGCAATATGGGATCTCAGCTTTAAAAACATAGTCAACGACTGCAATATGGGCACATTCAACTTTTTTATATCTCTCCAACTACGGTTAAGAACACATAAGCAGCAAGTAACTGTAATTCTCTGCAATATCAAGGACTTTCCTGCAGTTGCAGCTGCAATTCTCAGAATATGAAGGATCACTATACAACCGAGATCGCTATTTAAAACCTCGATCTACCTTCTAAACACTAAAAGCCCCAAAACATTAACAAAAATATAACCCAATATAACATCAAAGAACCGCACAGATACCCAAATTCAATTCTAAACTGAAATATCATTAACCATTCCAAAATTGTGATTAATGCACAGATAATCATAATCATTCCAAAACTGTTCTAGAATATACCATAAACTTAATTTTCTTATGCCAGAAACTTACCAAACAATAAATAATTATAAAAGCTAACACAAAAAGTCTCCCTATACATAATTTTCATGACCGACAAAATCAATAAATACAAAATAAAATTCCAGAAATTGAAATAAAAAAATAAAAAAACAAAAATTGTTGTAACTTACCCCACTAGCAAAAATAACGCCAGTAACAACAGGAAGAAGCGCAAGATAAGTAAGCCACGCTTCTCTTTTAAACGTCATAAAGTAAGCAAAAACGGCAGTAAAAAACGGCGTAGTAGCACCGACAGCTTGTGTAAACGACACCGGAAGATACCTCAACGACACATTCCCAAACACAACCGAAACACAGAAAACCAAACTGAGAGTAGCGATCTTGAAAAACTGAAGCCGAGACCGAATCGTTTGCATTGGAACCATTTTGAGCCACGCAATCGCAACGTAGCTGAACAACGAACAAGCTGTCATGTGGCACATGGTTAGGAAGATTGGGTACTTGAATCCGTAGTTGCTCAGGAGGTACTTGTTGAGTAAGAGTACGCCAATGTTTGATGTGTACCATGATGAGATTAAAGCTATTGTGAACATTCGATTTGAGAGCTTCATTTTTGTGTTTATGGAAGGGTATTAGTGTAATTTGATTATGGGGGGGTGTGGAGGGTTATGGTGGTGGTGTGTTCATGGATCTGTGGATTGGGGGATCGGAGAGGAGAGACTTGTTGGGAGAGGTTTTGGGAGGAAGGGTGTGTTTGGTTTGTGTTTAAAAGGGAAATGAGAATAGTGTTGTGTGAGTGAAGGAAAGGTAAACGGAACGCGTAAACAAACAGGGACTTAGTTGCGCTCCGTTTCCATGGACTTTCTTTTTTTATTTTTGATATGATATGATAAATAAAAATGATATGTGTAATATAATAAGGGGATGGTGGCATGAAAAGGAGGAGACACGGAATTGACATATAATATGTACGCATATAAAAGGAGACTATTATTGTACCAACAAAATTAGAATGCAAAGTATTTTTTCTCTCTAATGTTAACAAGGTTCATTTTTGGTCTTTAAAACGTTTCATTTAAATTAATTTTATTTAATTAACGATAGATTTAGCGATCGATTTCTGAATTTTTCATTAATTAAATAAAAAAGACTAAAATAAAATATTTTAAAGAGTTAAAGAATTAATATAAATTTTAAAATTAAGAGATTAAAATGAATCTTTACATTAACATATTAAATAAAAAAGGTATTTTATCAAATTAAAATTAAAAGGGATTATTAGGTGGAGAAAAATAGAAGATCCTCATGAATTGACTATATATTAATTCTAAAGTTTTATCTTTGAATTATAATATGTGCTAATAATTTTTGTGTCGGATTAATTCATATTAAATGTATAGTTTGGATTTTAAATGAGCACCTTTCTAATGAATTTTAGTTAATTAACGATGAATTTGATCTTTTAAATTAATCAATTTTAAAATAAAAATAAAAGATTTAATTTTAACTATGTAATCAGAAATTTGAAACATTAATTATTATAATTTTTCAATGTTTAAAAGACGGAAATTAAGGAATGACTATTATGTAGATAAAATTAGAGGTGACAAATATATATATATATATATATATATTATATATATATATATATATATATATATATATATATATATATATATATATATATAATATATATATATATATATATATATATATATATATATATATATATATATATATATATATATATATATATATATATATATATGTGTACTCTTTAATTCTGTCTCAGAAAAACCTAAAAAAAATAGAGTGAGTCGGATATTTTATGAGCTTAAAACTTTTTTTATAAGCAATGAGACATTTATAATTAAAGTATAAGGGGTACTCATCTGATTATAAAAGTAGCAATTACAAGAGAAAATTCAAGGGATTCATACACCAAAAATAAAAACTGCAAGTCAACTTGGACTTGTTTCCAATTACAAGACAAAATTAGGAAATAAGTTTAACATTATCTACTACTTCATTGACCTGAAAAATGTCATTCTTGAAAATAGTAGAATTCATTTTACTCCAGAATACCCAGCAAGAAGCCAATCAAATGATCACATTTTTATTTGAAGGAATTTTGCTACCCACACATTCCTTAAACCAGCTAAGATGCTCCAAGATCCTCATATGACGATGACTCTGAGAAACACCAATCCAATCCAACACTTTGGCCCAAACTGTAATTGAACGTGGACAAGAAAACAACAAATGATCCAAACACTCATCTATGGCAAAACAAAACACACAAACCTTGTCATTGATGCCCGATATCACACCTCTCATTGATAATTCATCTTTTGTTGCAATATTGCCCAAGAGACATCTCCACCCAAACACTTGAATCTTCGACGGAACTGATGTCATCCAAATGCTAGCATTTGCTTTCTTTAATTTTGCACTAGCACTAACTAATTCTTCCAAGTCTACCGCCACATTATAGCCATCATGCACCAAATAACACCTATTTGTCCCATTAAACCAAATGAACTTATCCCCCCTTTTCACATAAGGCGTAACATTTGACAACAAAAGTTCCAGTTCAACCAATTGAGCTAATATGGTTGCGCCTAGAGACTCAAAATAAGTACCTAATTGCCACTCCCATCTGCACCCATCAAACCTTCCCATTTCGGTAACCAACGTATTTGGCTTTGTTGATAACTCAAACAAAAGGGGAAGCAAAACATTTAGAGGAATTCCACCATACTAGTTGCTTTTCTAGAACAAGATATGATTTCTCAATCCCAACCTGCAAGACAAGTTTCTAAGAAACCAATCACGCCATTGATCTGACAAACAACTCAAAGAACTCAGGTCTCTCCACCAGAGTGACAACTTCTTAACACTAGTTTCCATTAGGCCTCCCAACACACCCAATTCTAGAACACCATATTTGTGTTCCAGCAACAATCTCTAGAGCACCGACTTATCATTCAAGAATCTCCACCTTCACTTACTCAATAGTGCCTCAATAAAAGATGCAATACTCCTAATGCACAAACCCCATTTCTCCTTACTTTTGCAAACATAAGCCCACTTCACCCAACTAATACCTTTCTTATCCACCCCCACCACACCATAAAAACTCTCTCTGAATTCTAATAATTTCGGCCAACACAACTTTGGGAATCTTAAAAAATGACAACATATGGATTGGAATTGAGTTCAACACATAAGTGTGATTTTACCCACAATGGAAAAGAATCGACTCTTCCAAGATGACAACCTACACTTTATTTTCTCCACAATTGGTTTCCAAACCATTTAAGAGTGATACATAGCCTCAACTAGTATACCTAAAAAATTAAAAGGCGCATCACTAATATCACAACTAAGAAATGAAGTAGCAGCATGTATTAAAGAATTCCCCAAGTTGATTCCCACCAAACAACTTTTAGAAAGATTAATGTTCAACCCCGAATCCAACTCAAAACCTCTCAACAAATCCTTGATACACCACAATTTGCTCTAAGATCCTTCGCCAATCAGAACAATATCATCAGTAAACTGTAATAGTTAAAATTCCACATTGTTGTTCACCCTGAAACCCTTATACAAACCACAATTAACTACATTCAACATCAATTTTGCAAGGCCTTCTGCAACTAGAGTAAACAGAAAAGGTGACAATAGATCACCCTGTTTGAGTCCTTTACGAATCTGGAAATCCATCGTTGGGCTACCATTCACTATTATAGATAAAGAGCAGTGGAAAAATACAAGCATCCATCCATTTGAACCATCTTTCCCCGAACCCAAACCTCCCTAACACATACTTTAGAAAACCCCAATTTACATTATCATATGCTTTCTCGAAATCCACTTTCAACAATAGGAATTCTTTCTTCTCCATTTTATCAAAATCCATAATCTCATTAAGGACCACAATTCCATTTTGAATATGTCTCCCCGGAAAAAAAAAAGCAGTATGTGTGCTAGAAACAAGTTCCCCAACCACCCTTTTTAGCCATTTAGCCAACAATTTTGTTATAATTATGTATAAACTTCCAACCAAACTGATGGGTCTATAGTCCCCCAACTCTTGGGGATTATCCACTTTAGGGATCAGAGCTATAAAGGAAGTAGATATAGCTTTTGGAAGATTCACGTTGCTATGGAACTTCAATATAAAGTTAAAAATATCAGCTGACAATGAACTCCAACATTTATGAATGAAATTGAAATTAAAATCGTCAGGACCAGGACACTTATCACCATCGCATTCCCCCACCACACTTTACCTTCTTCAACTATGAACACCTCCTTCAAATGTTGAGCATTATTCATAGAAAATTGAGTAAAGTATATACCATCCAAAACTAGCCTCTCAAAACAACACAACTCTATAATTTTTGCTTCAAAGAATGACTTCGCATCACCCTTCACACCCTCAACACTATCAACTCTGTCAGCATCAGTAGTAACACCTACCAATGCATTTCTTCGAGTCCTTTCCTTCAAAGAAATATGGAAAAACTTTAAGTTAAGATCACCTTCCTTAATCTACCTTACCTAAGACTTATATTTCAAATGATCTCTCTCAACTGCAAGTTTTTCCAAAAATAATGAGTCACATCTGCATGTTTTTTAGACCAAATTGCTGTCATTTCATCTTAACCCAGATTTTCCAACCCATCACATTCATTTATAACATCAACCGCTTCCTGAACCCTTATACCAATCCACCTAAAAACCTCTTTATTCCACCATCTCAATATATCCCTTAGCATCCTAAATTTTTCTTTCACCACAAAGGAAGTGGAACCATTAACCACTAATGACTTCCACTCCCTATCGACAAACTCCACCAACTCTGTATGTTTAAGCCAACAATTCAAAGTTCTAAATGGTTTAGGACCCCAGTTCAACATATTGCATTTCAACCATACTGGATTGTGGTAAGAGATATCCTTGTTACCAATTTCTTGATTAACTACTGCCATCACATTAACAAAACTCTATGATAAAAGAAATCAATATCCAACTCCTTGAGCCTAATCTCCCACCACACCACGAGAATTTGTTACTCCCAGTAGGTAATGTTGCACCTCAAATTTTACCACGAATTTTCTCATTCACGTTGTTTATATCCAATTTAATTTTCATTCGAATTGTTGCATTTTTTGCGCATTTGCATATGTTTTCAATTTTTTTTCTTCATTTTTATCTATATGTATATATTTTCTTTTTGCCTTTAGATAAATGATAATTTGATTTTTATTTTATTTTATTTTATTATTATATTTTAATCAAAATATATCAAAAAAATAATATGTGTGTTTTATTTCTATTTTTTATTTAGCTTTTTAATTTAATTGAAGTTTTAAATTTATAAAAAATGTGAATATAAAAAAATTGTGTATATTTTATTTAGTTTATTATAATTATTGAGAAAAAATGTTTATAAAATTTTTTTGGTTTATTTTATTTTTATATTTAGACTTATTTAAAAAGAAAATATCTTGAGTATGAGCTCTTTGGTCTTTTCATAAGACCTAAATGTGTTTGGATAAGGTTTTTGGGGTTGTTAATTATGATAGCAAGATAAAGGGTGGTATCAAATTGAGGGAGAGGGGATGAAATATAAAAATAAAAAACGGAGGCAGATCAAAGATTACAAAGGAAAAACTCAAAAAATGTGATCCCTTCTATTTCTCTACAATCCGCTCACTAATTTCCATCTCATAGTTTAATCCCATCACTTCCACCAGTATTTCCTTCTTCTCTATCAACATCCATCACTTTCAGAACTCAACCCTTCATCACAAAACATATCCACCTTCATCCAACTACTCTTCTTCACATACAACCACCGTCTTGCGACCTTTACCTTTTCTACAACTCACTATCAAATACTCCCTCCGCTGTAACAACAACCGAGTTCTCTCTCCACTTCTGTAATCGTGATCCACCCTTACTCAGTCTGCATATTACCTCACAAAAATCATCGCAACACATACTTCCTCTCTGCAACAAACAACCCTCCATCTAACATTCAACCTCACGAAAGCCCTTCTCACCCTTACTTCTGAACCTGCCATCCGCTGTCAACATAGCAACATCAAACTTCCTCACAGACACGAAACACTTTATCTTCTTCCTCATATCATACTCGTGAGAATCACTCCCTCCATCGACTTCACATGTCATCAACTACACCTCACATCTCACTTTGCTCTTACTGTGAACCCAGCCTGCAAACCTCTGGTCTTACTTCTTCACCTTCAACCAGAAAACTCTATGTGCCATTTCCGATTTTACTTCTGAACTATCATCACCATCATCGTGACTCAGTACCGTCACAAGCACAGAATCGACCACATCGTTCTACTCAGCTCAAAGTGGTAATTGGATCTAAATCATTTTCACCATTATTTTTTTAAGTGATATAATTTATGAAATGTGTTATGTTATTGTTTGTGCTTAGTTTATTCTGAAGTGATTGATTTATGCTATAATTTCTGAGCTAAGTTTTGATTAAGGAACATTGATTATGTCATTGAATTTATGCCCCTTGTGTTAAACATATTCTTGGATGGAATTATTGAATATCATGGTTGTTGTTGTTGTTGAATTTGAGTTTATAATGATAAATTGTGTCGAAGTTTTGATGTTGATAACATGTCATTAGGGATAATTTTGTTCTTGAAGTAAATGGTTATTATTGATGTTGGTTTATTGAACATGAGGTTGATTTTTGTTTGTAATTGGAATGTTGAAATTGGTTGAGGTTGTGATTATTTGTGTTGAAGTTGTGATGTTGTGTTGTGTTTGAGACAAGTTTGGGATGATAAAGTGTTAAGGTCATTACCTTCCATTTGTGCTAAATTTGAATTGTGGTGATTGATTTATGTTATATTTGTGATAGTTCTAAGTATTAGAATATGAATTGATGGTCTTTGATATCATGTTTGTTTATGCCAAATGGATAAGATGATGGTGATTATTGTTTGTGATTGGTATGTTGAAATTGGATGAGAACTTTGATTTGAATGGTGTCATGTTGTGTGAATCAATTTAAAAGAGGCTTCGAGGGAATGTTTGTTTCATTTGTGTTGACTTTGAAAGTTTAATTTGGTTTTGGCATCATTTTGATGTTTCCGCTAGTGTTCTATTTCTTTTGAGATGATTTTGTTGAGCATCAATAAATTCATGTAGTTGCTGCCCGGTGTTGTACCCCAAAATTTGCCTTCTCTTTTCTCAAGACATTTATTACAAGATAATCTTCAATGACTCAAGTTTGCACAAGTGTTGACTAGGTCAAATCATCTTCTAAACACTAAGACCCCAAATTAGGGTTTTGATTTTCACAAGGACAGTTGGACTTCTAATGTCTTAAATGACTTTCATGGTTCATTATAGACCTCCAAGAATACTCATGCCAAGTTTCAAGCATTGGATCATAAATTTTCTCAGACAATTGATCGGATGATTGAAAATTAGTTGTATTGAACTCTACTCCCCAAGAAGAAATCAACATCCCCTGCAGAGTTTCCTCAAACAACAAACAGGAATTCCCAGCGGAAGTGTTCTAGACAAAAATGGAAGATATACATACTCTTCATCCACAACAATAGTCAGGGATTTATTTTCCCAAACAAAGATACATTTCAACAATATTCATACATCACGACATATGCATACGAAACATATAACATAATCTCATTTATTTTGAGAACATCATTAAGCAATGCATTTCATATATCATGACATTGCATACAACTAACTCTTTACCTTTTTAGGAAAGATCGGTGAACAGATGAATATCATCAACTATCTACATAATCAGATAAAATTTCTCCAAAGACTAAAATCTGACAAGTATTTCCATCGAAGACTTGCCCCAAGGAGTCATTCTGAAGAATATATCTCCAAGAAGAAATCAAGTTTAGATTCCTTCATTACCTGTTGAAGTAGTAGTCATCATAGATTCCTTCATTACCTGTTGAAGTAGTAGTCGTTATAGATTCCTTCATTACTTGTTGAAATAGTAGTCTCCATAGATTCCTTCATTACTTATTGAAGTAGTAGTCGTCACAGATTCCTTCATTACCTGTTGAAGTAGTAGTCGCCACAAATTCCTTCATTACTTGTTGAAGTAGTAGTCGTCATGGATTCCTTCATTACCCGTTGAAGTAGTAGTCACCACAGATTCCTTCATTACCTGTTGAAGTAGTAGTCGTCATGGATTCCTTCATTACCTGTTGAAGTAGTGGTCGCCACAAATTCCTTCATTACCTATTGAAGTAGTAGTCGTCATGGATTCCTTCATTACCTGTTGAAGTAGTAGTCGCCACAGATTCCTTCATTATCCATTGAAGTAGTAGTTGCATGTAGACTCTTTCCCGGATACATTTCTTAAAGATCAAGTCAAGCACTAGACTTAACAACAGTCACTCTGGATGGCATCTATAAGCCAATCTCCGAAAACTCTTCATTACCTCTTCAAATGACATCTCTAAGCCCATTCCCAACACAATCAACTAACAACATTACTTCGTGCACCAACGAGTGCAAATTTCTGGGCACTTTAGTGTTCAATCATCTTCCATCTTCAAGTTACGAATGGCGAACATATCAATCTAACTCTTCAGTTTTAAAAAGATTGAACAGAGGCAGCTGTTGTACCCCAAAATTTTCCCTCTCTTTTCTAAAGACATTTCTAACAAAAAATCTTCAATAACTTAAGTTTTCACAAGTGTTGATAAGGTCAAATCATCTCCTAAGCACTAAGATCCCAAATTAGGGTTTTGATTTTCACAAGGATAGTTGGACTTCTAATGCCTCAAATGACTTTCATGTTTCATTATATACCTTCAAGGATACTCATGCCAAGTTTTAATCCTTGGATCATAATTTTTCTCAGTCAATTGATCAGATGATTGAAAATTAGTTGTATTGGATAAAAAGTCAAATGTGGTCAACCCACAGTCAAACTTCAAGATTTTTGGCCCATATCAATATTTTGAAGTCATATTTATTAATTGATCAAGGTTTAATCACAATTTCTCAAGAAAGGTGTTCAAATCATCAAAAGGGCAAAATGATCAAAATTAGAGTTTTGATTGGGAATGACCTGTTGTTCACAGTGATTTCTGGTGAACAACCGCTAGTCTTCCAAACTATCAAATAAACTTAATTACTGTTATTCAATCTCTCTGGTAACTTACATGATCGACTAGATTGATCCTATGGAACATAGTTGTTTGGCTAAGTCTAATTGTAAAACTGACATTTGTATTTAGGATTTCGAATTAGAGTTGTCCCAAAGATATCCAATCCGCTTCGATTACTATACTGAAAGGTTCGAAGGATAACTTCTATATGGTATTAGGAATACTCATGAGAAAAGTTTAAAGACTTGAAATTTGATAAATGGCAGGATTAAATGGGTGGATGTAAAAGTTACTAAATGTTTAGAGGTTTCGACCATAAGAAAAGTATTTAAATGCAGAAAGGAATAAATGACTTCGAGTACAAAGGCTTTAATGTAAAGGCATAAACATAAAATTGCTTGAAATACAAATGAAACGGAAGTGAAAGATAAAATTGGAAAATGTAAAGAGTTTTCATTGAATTGTAAATGCTGGTGTTATCATACGTACATCTTTCGAGCATTCGTTTCCCTATCCATGCGGTATTTTGAATGTTTATTGAATTTGTACAACAGATATGACACCCTCAATCCTAACAATAAGACTTCTATTTATACTATTCGACCATAACGGTCTTGCTATTAGAATCTGCCACGTTCGAAGCATACAGAGCATTGCTTCCCTCTAGCCTCCACGCGTCTTCGAACACTCTTATGCTTGTGTATTTGAATTTCCAATATCCCGCTCACGTTTGAATTTCAAATGTTTTGGAACTTTTCGTTTCGAGTTTGTTCATAGGTTATTTCCAAAAATGACCTTCACAAATATACTCTTATGATTATTTTGAACAAGGCTTTAGACTCACACTCCACAACTTATCATTCGAAACCTTGAACTCTAATATTTCCATTCGAAACAAACATTCTCTTCCATTCCAAATCATCAAATTTGCTTTATTCAAACAAAGCTCAACCATAGTGATTTCATTTCGAATCACAGTATCAAAATCTTCAGCCAACAAAATGCCCCTTTAAAATATGTATTTCGAACCCTTTGAGAAGTACTTATTTTAAATAGATTCACAAGATTTTGATAACCCTTTTTGAAGAATCATGACACTTACTGCACATGATTTTACCCACGTCAATCAAGACGCCTTTTTGAGTACTCAACCGTCTTGGACCAGTTACCACAACATGGTGCGGTTTAAAAATAATGATTATTATTAATCACACTTATTATCAACACTGGATCTTACGCCACCTCCCTCTGAATCCAATCAACAACTTCCACGTACTCCTAGTCTTTTTAGTGGGTGCTTACACTCACTCTATAAAACCTATTAGTTTAGTCTTTTCTTCTTTTTCTCCAAAATTTCTGAAATCCCCCTCCTTTTTGCTAAACCCTAAAACTTCCAGCAATCTTAACAATGTCTTCATTAACATCATCACAATTGAAGAAATTATCAAAGAAGAAGAGCAAGAAAACCAACACGGAAACCATCATGGAGAGCAAAGTGAGTATTTATCAGAATCAATCTGTATTCAATCCTCAAGTGATCTCCAAGGAGAAAGAAATGTTGTACGCCTCTCAGGTATTAATCCCTACCACTGTTGCTGGAAAAAGGTTTGCCCTAATGGGTCCTTTAACAGTTTTTGAAATTCTGAAAGATACTAGGAATATTTTCCCTGTTTGCTATAAATTCAAACCCCTATTCAACAAAATGGATGCCCCTAGGGCAGGAACTGAAGACCTAAGTGAATCATCTGATTCGAAAACAACTGAAACTCCGGCCTTACCTCCAAAAGACCCTTTTATCTTAGATTATATCAAAAGTAATTTCAAACCATTTCGATCCTGCCCCACTTCAGACATAGCATACCAAAACTGGTTCACCAAGGTGGAATCCAAAAAGTCTCAACAATGGGAAGAATTAGGGATTTATAACTTAATCAAACTGTCGAAACCAGGCTTTACCTACAGTCACCCATTGCTATTCGCTTCATTGTACTTCTGGGACAGTACTTACAACACTTTCCATCTTCCAGGAGGAATGATAACACCCACATTCTTTGATATAGCTGCCATCACTGGTCTCTCACCAGTGGGGGAAATTTACATTCCTGACAACGAAGAACATTCCAGCATTATTGACTTCGATGTCAAACTGGCTAGCTTCTCAAAATTTATCAGCCATTATCACACTGAAGGGGGTGAGGTCTCAGATGTAGAACATATCGCTTTCCTCACCCTGTGGCTATCACGATATGTGTTTTGCAGTAGATCTTTGCAAGTAGCAAGTAGGTTCATTCCCCTAGCCAGGGATTTCCATGAAAATAGGAAAGTCTGTCTGAGTGAACTGTTACTTGTCGACCTTTATGAGAGTTTAAGGTCAGCAGTTTCTAGTTTAAAATGCCATACTCCAAAAAACATTCTTCTGGCTGGACCCTTTTGGTTGCTTCAATTATGGCTTAATGCCATGTTAGAATCTTCTTTATCAACCGCTGATACCATCATTGAACAAGATCCGGAAATAGCTGACAGGAGCATCGAAGGCACGAGACTTCGAAAGCTCACCCCGAATGATGACAAGGATGATTTCAAAATCCAATTTTCTAAATACATCATGATCTTCTCCAAAAGACACAAGTTTGAAGAGTCCATGGCACCTTTTGCTCAAAGGACTTGTGGACCTTCATGGTTCACAATGCCTCTCTCAGAAGCTGCCAAGAGCAAAGAGATGCAAGATATCTGGAAAGCGTTTCTTCTTCCTAGGTTAATCTCCTCAAGAATTACCCCAAACAAGAATCAAATTTTCCTCCTAGCTTATCAACCCAATTTTGTTTCTAGACAATTTGGCCTGTGCCAATTAATTCCTGAACCTTTGTTCCAAACACAAAGTGCCATCACCTCAGGCAAAACGTTCAAAGCAAGAGAGGCCAAGTTGCAACAGGAACAATACCAAGATTTCACTCAGTTCGAGCTTTTACCTTTCGAGCCAACATACTCCACAGCAAAAGGATTTCTTGAATGGTGGACTAAGTTCTACCAGACCTATATGTTTGACACACTCACCATTCAACAAAAGCTAACTGACGCGTTCAATGTGCAGGTACACTCCAAGAAAGGTATGTTCACTCACGTCAAAGAAATTAGGGCTTTTTAAAATTATTTCGAAACCACTTATGATCCCACACACTTGGGAATCACTGTACATCAAGCGGCCGAGACCTTGAAGGAAAAATTTAAAGAAAAAATTTCTAAGCTCAAACTTCCTTCAGGGTTGTCACCTGAGGATAGGTATAGGTTGGCACTCGAAATGCACCCACCTAAATTTCCTAGGTTGCCTACCTCAGAACTGGCTCTGGCTTGGTTTCCTCCATACCCTTGGTGGTTCACTTGCAAAGAAATGTTCAAATACCAGCCTCAAAAGAAACCAAAGCCATCTGAGACTGTGACATGGGCTCGTTACTGGCTTCATAATTTCCCAGGACATCTTCGCTATGACCTTCCTGCCATTTCGATTACATCTAATCAAGGCACAGGTGCGAATGCTTAGGAAAATCCCAATTGTATCCTAATTCCCTTATCCTTAACACTTTACCTTAATTGTTTCACTTTTCAGTTATTAGGATAAAGAGTGTTACTTCAAAACCCAAGGAAGGAAA